ATATATATATATATATATATATATATATATATATATATATATATATATAATTCATTTAAATGAATTAATTTCAGAAATGATAATTACGCCGATCTGAAATATTGCTATCTCGGTAGTCTAAAGGCTTAGAACGCTCGCACGGAATGCAAGAGATTCGAGTTCGACTCCCGGTCGAGGCAATATTTTTCTCAATAAGTTTATTAAGAACAGTTCATATCAAACAGTTTTTTAAGATTTGGAAAATTTGGGAAGATTATCAATATTTCAGATTGAAAGTCCTACAATCATATCGGCACGCAATTATCATTTCTGAAATTAATTCATTTAAATAAATATATATAGTAATTTAACATCTTAACATTCAAACCGTAGTGGCGCTTCGTATTTAAAGTAATGTATTTAACATAAACAGTCTTGTTTCCAATCATATTATGTATAAATTTATTACATAAAATGCGAATGTAAATATAACTACCAGTAAAACTATCAGTACTTCCATATAGTAATAAAAAAACATATAGGTACTTAAGGCATTTTACAATAATCCAAAAAATAAATTTACTATTTGGTCTTTCTGATTTTAATAAACATATAATTAATTGATCTTAAAATACATCACAAGCAAAGTTTGCTGGTCATTATGAAATATTTTTGAATGTCTATATAATGAAAAAAATCTAAAGCACTTATAATATTAGGTTGAAAGATAATAAAAAACGGTCCAAAGAAATCACTTTTTAGAAGTCTCATCCGTTTTCAGGATTTCTTCAGGTTCGATCAATCCCAATGTGTACCTACATGATGTACCTAATATTGTCCTCGTAATTAGAACTCCGTAGATTCATTCGTTCGATAATGATATATAGGCAAACGATTCTCTCTAGATTACTTGTTGCAAAGTGGCCGCACGATTGTAAGTTGATAGATGAAAGTAGTTTGTATTATGCACGCTTTCCGCTTTTGTTAGCGTAGTAGTTCTGTTGCAGCAAAATTAAAAGTTTGATACAAAAGATAGCGTGTGCATAATTTTTTGTTGGTAGGAAATAATTGTAGGACTGATTCACATCAAACGGCCTTTAACATACAATAGTATCTATCTGATTTATCTGTCTTATGTTAGATCATAAATGAATATTAAATTAACAAAACTACGCCAATTGTTAATTAAGTCAACTGATTATAACATCTTGTATTCACATCAAAGTATTAATTGCTTATCTTGTTTATTCGTTGAAAAAATAGTATCAATTTACAAATTCATATTCGAGTATTGCATTTATTTCAGCAAAATTATGTAATAAATTTTCGTAGCAGATTAAAGTACGCCAATGATGTTTTAATGATCTATGAAATAATGAAATATATATGTATTATGTATAATATAATAACAAGCCAAAATGAGAAAGTTTCTACACTTACATTACTAAACGTAGGTAGGGACATTTCTATCATTTTTCCCGCTGAAATTTTTGCCGGAATATTAGAAACTGCTATTATCAAAATTAAAGTACGGGCTCTTTTGTGAGGAAGACGATGCCAATTCGTCGTAGATGTCATTGACCCAACCTTAATACTCTGTCATGATTAATTAAGTGTATATTTCATGAATTATTCGAAAGTTCATCTATTAATTTTTACAGCAAACAATATAAATATCAATACTATCTACCTGATCTGTCAATAGTTGACCAACGTAGCAATTAGTAAAAATAGAAAAAGTAAAAGATGTGAGAATCACAAACATAGTTAACATAGCTGTAGAATCGCTTCTTTCCCATTCCTATAAAATTAACGCTATTGCTTAATAATTAAAGCTTCTGAAATAATATTTCACAAATACTATCCCATTATTAATTTCTACGAAAATTAGCTGATCTTTATTTTGTAATTCTTAATGATAATAACAATATTGTTACATCGTTGTTACATGGTAAAAAAGCTGT